GCATTGGCCAAGAAAGGAAGTTTGGAGGAGTTCGGGGTGGGCCTTGGGGGACACGGGAGGCAAGATTTCAAGCAACGAGAACAGGCCTGTGGATGCTACAGACACTGAGCACGGAGGCCTGGCTAAACAGGTGGGTCTCCACGTGTGTTTACACGGTGTGCGTGCAGGCATGCACGTACGTGTGCCCCTGTATGTGTTGTGGAAAGACAGATGTGGTGATGTGTGAGGCTGGAGAGAAGAACCGGGGCTGGGTCAGGACCAGCTCTGTGCGTTTCTCTAATCTACCCTGCCCTTTGTTATCATGATAGCGCCCTTTACTCTGAGGCTGGAGTGGAGTCCTTGGAGGTTTTTCAGCAGAGGAGTGAGATGAATAGATTTACAATGACCTCCACGCCACGTGTGGAGAACGGCCGGCTGCGGGGCCAGACGAGGGGTTGGCTGGAGCTGACATCGGCCACTTCTGTGCCGTGTGTGTCCTGGGACAGTGGCGTTGCCAAACCACATGCTGTTTGTCTGCCCGCCCGTCTGCCTTCCCCTGGGTGCGGGAGCGGTCTGGCGATCATCTCAGGGTCCCTGCTGACCCGGAAGCGTGGCGACAGCGCCCACCTCCTGTTCCAGTGGGACACTCTGAGTGTCGCCCTTATGGCAGGGCTTGTCAGGGCGCTCTGCTTTGTTTCCAGGGGTGTGGTCGGGAGGCAGAAAGGAATGAAGGTCTCTCCATCCCCACCCCTGCACAATGACAGCTGGTCCCCACCCTCTGCCTGGGGCAGCCTCACGGCCTTAACGGGCAGCCGACTTGGTTCACTCACAAAGCATTCTGGGGCCTCAGTCCTCAAGGAAGAAAAGCTATTGTGTTACATTTTGTGCCCAGCTTTGCTATCATGTCCAGAGAAGGGATTAAGGCAAGCTTAGGAGACAGAGTAAAGGGCCAATGATGAACTGTCACCAGCTCTATCCCAACTCATGGCTGCTGCACTCTTTCTAAGGCCCTTCTAGCCGCTCAGGGGCTCAGATTCAAGTGTAATTTCCTACCTGAATTGTCACTGGAGAGTGTCTGATACATTTTTTTACAAAGTACTGTCTGAAACTTAAGAAATGGGAATAGGAAACTTGAGATGTTTTGTATTGTCTTTGTTTCAAAATGCTTAAAATGTTTCCATGGGGAAGGGTTCCCGCAGAGGCTCACCAGGTGTTACCTCTCCTAAGGCCCCTCTGGGAACCCAGCCTCTTTCACCACAGTCAGCTGGTGAAGGGGTGCTGGTTTGTGCGTGGGGCCCCTTGGGGGCAGAGGTCTTGACGTGGGATGGAGTGGCCTCTGGGCGGTGGGCTGGCCCTGGGCTTGCCTCCGGAAAGGACCACACGTCTCCCAGGGGGGACCTCAGCTTCCCTGACCGGGGGCTCTGCTGGAACTTGTTGTTGCTTCCTTCACTCGGGCTCCCCTGCGGGCTGGTGAAGGGACAGAGGGAGGGTGGGTGGAGGGAGGAGGGACCGATCGCAGGTGCGGAGACCCCCTCTGGCGGGCCTGGAAGGAAGCGGGGAACTCTCATCTCGGGGCCCAGGAAAGATGTTCTCAAGCTTTGCATCTCACCACTTGGAACCGCCTTCTGCTTGTCCGGCTGCCTCATGTTTGGATAGGCCATTGCCTCTGGAAAGCTCTGTGGCTGAGAAGCAGGAAGAGGAAGGAAGTAGGAAGCTCCCGGCTTTTGTTCTAGGATTCTGGGCACGAAGTACAAGCTAACTTCGGGCTTCCTTACAGACTGTTCACTAGGATGTGTCAGCCAAAAAAAAAAAAAAAAAAAATGCAGGGTGCAAATAGGAAGAATCTATTTGGGGTCCTAAGAATTGCAGTCTGGGAGACAGATTCAGGGCAACCCCAAAGGAGTGTTCCAAGGAAGAGAAAGGATCAGAGGCTTCTGAAGACACAAAGCCAGGAAAAAAGAAAACAAGCCAGGAGGCTGTTAAATGTTGCCTGGCAAGAACCGTGATTGACAGTCGCAAGTGAGAGAAGATTTGTCCTCAAGGCATCGTCAGTTGTTTTAGGGCAGGGGTCCAATAAGTAGATAGACTGTCTCAAGTTATTTTAGGGTAAGGGTCCGATAAGTATCTTGCGTTTCTGGCAGGTGCTCTGGACAACTTCATCAGGTCAAAAGGTCAGAGTCCATCCAGGCTGAGGCATGCACGTCACCTTCCTCCGTTGCTTCCTGGTTCCAGGTCACAGAGCTCTCTGAGCAATAATGACTCCGTTTAGATTTTCCTTTCACAGATGGGAAGGGAGACAGGGACCCAGAGCAGACATTAGACACGATGAAACAACAGTAATGGTTAGAACGACAAAACCCAGCATTTGTTCAGCACTTGGCATGTGGTAGGCCCCGTCCTTACACCTATAGTCGATCCTTGTCATCTGCAGGTTACGTTTGATAAAGTCGCTGCAAACTGGTTTGCGAAGACTGAGGCCCCACTCCTGCAGACACGGGTCAGGGTCCTGCGAGCCTCTGACTGCACGTTCCTCAACTGATCAACCCATAACCTTGTCTGAAGTGATTCTGTTTAAAAACTTCGTAATCAGTATGTATTATTCATTAATGTGGAACTCACAGACATCAGCATACAACAGCCTGAATGAAGCTTCTCTAACACATACTTTTTTTCCATAAGCCTTCTTGTGCTTAGGACCCTAGACAGCACTTCAGCACTAGGCTTGGGGGCTATTTTAAACAGTGAGATCACCAAGAAAAGGCACAAGTATGCGAAAAAATGTAGGACTAAGCAGACCACAAAAACCGCGCCTGTTTGCAGTATGAGCTGAAACAAGAAGGCACATCACGGCCTTGTTCCACCCCAGCCGTGACGGTGAGTGTCGGGTGACTAACTTTTCACTGTTCTGCACATGTCCTGAGTGACTGCAAAAGTGCTTGCAAGTATTGATCTCGGGGTTACAAATATATTTTGGCATGTAGGTGAATTTGTAATATAGAACCCCTGAATAATGAGGGTCGATTGATGTATTATTTAATCCTCATAACAACCCTGCAAGGTAGGAACTATTATCACCTTGATTTTCACATGTCAGAAAGTGAAACAGGAGTTTAGGTTGACTTGCCCCAAACCTCACAGCTACAAAACGGGGGAGCCAGGATTCTAACCCAGGCAGTTTGACTATGGAGCCTAGACACTTATTCAATTATCTCCATTGGCTTATGACTTCAGTAAATTTTATGTGGTATTTTTTAGGAAACTAAGCTTGGCTCATAGGGCATGAGAAGTGAAAAGGCCCAAATCACATTCTTAAATCTTCAATATTCTTTTCTAAGTAAAATTTCTTACACCCAGGTACAGGTTGAAAATTATGAAATTGCCCTTTTTAGGTTAAACACAATTGGACACTGGCAAATTCCATGGCTCAACCTCACATATCCTTGGAAAGCTTTCTCCCCATTAGTAGAGGTATCAGTTTATTTCATCTTTTTGCATAGGCAAAACTAAAGATACCATACTTCAAATGGAAAAAATTTAGGGAATGTATAGATGTACTCTTATTATAGAAGCACACAGGTTTATTATTTTATAGCATTTTTTCCGCTCTATTTTCTGATCTTTTTAAGTTAAGGACAAAAGAATAGGATCTCACACTTCAGTATAAACAGGCCAAATATAAGTATTTTCCACCTAAAAGATGCTGAACATTGGACTGTTTTATCAGAGCAAGTGTATCATCTGTGTTTCTAGGGGTCTTACCATGTGTTTTCTATCTCATTGAGATTAGATAAAATTCTACTGAAGGCAGTAAGGATGGGCAATAAAAGCCTTTGGGGCTCCACCTTTTAATTGTTACGTTTTAGGGAAGGAACGGAGTAGGTGATGTAATAAAACAAAACAGTAGGCATTTCATCACGATCACACCAAACTGGAAAGCAGGAGTGTATTTATGGAAAACTCCTGGATTCTCTGGAATTCACACTGTACAGGAAGCCCTAGTTTCTCCTCTCTCCTTAGCAAGGTAGAGAATAAGAGAGAAAAGAAGTCACTACCGGCAGACCGAGAAGGTGGCAGACTAGTGTCTCCGATAAACTATCTTATCGGGGTTTGGATGCCAGTTTCTTTTATAGCACAGAAAGGGGTTAGAGACGAGGAAGCAAAGTAAAAAGGCCATACGTTTTGCAAATATTCCCTGGAACTGCCAGCCATCTACAGGTGGGCAGGGTGAGACTGTCTCCCTGGGAAACGAAGAGGGGCTCTTTAGTTTAACATTCAGGCAGAGGGGCAGGGTTCCCTGGGGCAGGCCGTAATATATGTATATGATTATACCAACAAAAGCGACGAAAAACAAAGGCTGAGATCAAAGAAACAGACGGAACAGGGAGTCGGATTTAGCTCTTCCCTATTACACCACCAGCGCCCAAAGCCTGCCCCTTGTCCCCGGACTCCCTTCGAGCGGAGATACTCGGCGAACGGCAGTTTAGAACGGAATCCCTGCCAGTACTGGCACAAGGGCCCCAGCCTTCTTCTGTCGGGCCTGGAAGCGAGTCTAGGGCACGGGGCCTCAGTACTGGACCTGAGTCTGCAGACCTAGACTTCTAGTCCCGGCACTGGAGCCCGGGGCCGCAGGCCTGGACGTGGGCGCAAGGCACGGGGCTTCGAGGACACTCGTGAGGATCCGCGTTCGTGGGTCTATTCATCCAACAAGCAACGGCTGTGCGCACCTCTGGGTCCCGACTCCCGGAGGTGGCAGGCAGCGACTGCTGAACCCGAGCGCGGGAGACCGCGGCTCTCCGCGTCCTTCCCTTACAGCTTCCGCCCCGCGGGCCGGCGAGCAGCTAGCACAACGTGGACGCCATACCCAACGCACCCCCCGCCCGCGGCCACAGGGCCCACACAGGCCAGCGGCGGAACCCGACGCGCATGCGCACGCTGCTACGGAGGCCGCAAGGGCCGCGCCGACGCGCCGGAAGCGGGATACCCGGACTTCCGGTCGACCACAAGAGTTTCCGGTTCCGGGTTTCTCGGCGGGCGAGAAGGGCCGTTGCGGCCCGGGAGCAGGGCCATGGAGAAGCTTCGGAGAGTCCTGAGCGGCCAGGACGACGAGGAGCAGGGCCTGACTGCACAGGTAGGGAGCCTGCCTCCGGCCTCTGGGGTGAACGTGTGTTGGGGCGGGGCCGCGGAGCGTGGGCAGCGGGCCTCTTCTACCTGCAGAGGTGATGCGGGAGGGCGCCACGGGCCTCCCGGGAAGAACTTGGGGCGCTTTCCAGGTTTCCATGTAGTCTACAGAAGCTCACTTTGAGACCCCCCCCCGCCCTCCAATTTGGCCTTGCGACTCTCAGGAACGTACTTCGCTGCATGTCTTCCTTTCCCAAATAACCCATTTGCACCCACGCTGCTCTCCACCAGCCTCCGCTTGGTTTTCTGCGCCTGGTGTGGACTTTGAACTCGGGCTGGCAGCGCAGTACCTGTGCGGGTACTCGTCCTGTCAGCTGCATAAGCTGAAATCTTAAAGCTTCGTTGCATCTGTTAGACCCTGGAATTAAGTGAGGTGTTGTGAGTGTATGTTTTTTGGAAGGAGGGAGACTGGAGGGAGAAAAGAAAAAACACAGGTCATTGAGAAGTGAAATAATACTGAATTAAAAGTTGTCAGTTGAGCCCTCATAAGCGGTTTTTTAAAAAAACAATCCTTGTCTGCGTACTTTACCCACGGGACTTGAAAAGGGTTACTTCCTTTAAAAGGAGGGATAAAAATAGTGCAGGAGGAACTGCTTTATAAGTATCTTTGTTATTTGCATGCAGACAAATTCTTGCCTGCCTGTCACAGAAGTGGAACATTTAAAATGAAATGGTATTACATAAGGACCTTTTATTTGTCCCTTCTCTTGTCCTAACTTCCTTCCTTGTTATAAACAGCACCTCTTGTGAACAGGATTCTGGACTAGTCTGTGAGGGTTCAGAGACTGAAAGCCAGGCATCTGCTCTAAGTGAACTCTAACCAGTTTGGCAAATCGTAATGGTAATACAAGAACCTATAAATGGTAATATGAGAAACGTCCATTAGGCAGCAATGGCTTACCCAGCTCATTTATTTATTTAATTTAATTTTAATTGTTTTATAAATTTATTTTATTTTATTTTTGGCTGCGTGGGGTCTTCTTTGCTGCGCACGGGCTTTCTCTAGTTGTGGCGAGCGGGGCTACTCCTCTTTGCAGTGTGCGGGCTTCTCACTGCGGTGGTTTCTCTTGTTGAGGAGCATGGGCTCTAGGCGCGTGGGCTTCAGTAGTTGTGGCACGTGGGCTCAGTAGTTGTGGTGTGCAGGCTCAGTAGTTGTGGCTCGCGGGCTCAGTAGTTGTGGCTCACAGGTTCTAGAGCGCAGGCTCAGTAGTTGTGGTGCACGGGCTTAGTTGCTCTGTGGCATGTGGGATCTTCCCAGACCAGGGATAGAACCTGTGTCCCCTGCATTGGCAGGCGGATGCTTAACCACTGTGCCACCAGGGAAGCCCCCAGCTCATTTATTAAACCACTGTTTTGTGCTTCACGTTATGCTCTAGGTCTGTGCTATACAAACAGTAGCCCTAGCGACATGCGGCTATTTAAATTTAAGTTAAATAAAATTTAACATTCCTTTTTCAGCCATACCAGCCACGTTTTAGGTGCTGGGTGGGCAAGTAAGTCAGTGGCTGATGCATAGGACAGTACCTGCTTGGGGCATTGCATTGCAGAAAGTCCTGTTAGACGGAGCTGCTCTAAACCTTGGGGCATGAAGGTGGTGGTGCCACTTCTCTTGAGCCCACTCTCTAGAGGGGTGAAAAATTATGTAGAGAAGTCATTGACCAAAGATTGGAGTGATTGACTGGAATGGACAAGTGCATTGAGTTCGGAGGAGGTGATCATTTATTCATTCAACAAATATTTTGGTGCCTGCATATGTTTGGCTCTGTTCAAGATGCTGGTGTTATAACAGTGACCAAAACAAAGGCCTCCCCTACATGGAAGTTACATTTTAATTGGGGAAAACAGTTAATAAACAAGTAAATATAAAAATATGTCAGCCCGTGATAAGTGCCATGGAAGAAGGTAAAGTGGGTGGATGAGGTTGGGATCATCTTGTTGTGTTGGATGGTCAGGGAAGATGTGTCTTTTAGGGTGACATTACAGCATAGATCTGAAGAGCACTGGGATATCTGGGTAACCCGTACAAGTAAATATCTCCCAACTCATGCAAATATAGATCCTGAGAACAGGCTCAGCACGTTCAAGGCCCGTAGAGAGGCCACAGGGTGTCTGGAGCCAAGGGCCAGGGAAGCGGGAAGGTGGGAGGTGGGCTCCAGGTCATGTGGGGTCTTGCAGGACACAGTAAGGACTTCAGCCTTTACTCTGAGCGTGCTGAGGAGCTGTTGGGTTTTGAGTAGAGCGGGCATGTGACTGCCTTGGATTTTAAAGGGTCGCCCTGGCTGGTCTGTGGAGAACAGACTGCAGGGGCAAGAGTGGCAGCTGGAGCCTGGTCCGAGGACTAGGGTAGTGGTCCTGGGAAGAGACCTGGGTCAGGGAGGTGGGAGTGACGGTGGCCTAAAGTGAGAGTGGCCAGGCTCTGTAAACGGTCCGAGCGCAGAGCTGACGGGCTAGGTGTCAGAGTGCTGCTGGAGGGGCCCGGGTGCCTCTGGTTTTGACCTGAGCCGCTGGAGAGATGGAGTCGCCCTTGACTGGGACATGGAAGGCGCACGTTGGGGGGTCATCTGGATGTTGAGTGAGATGCCAGCTAGCATCTGAGTGCAGATTCTAGAGCTCCTGGGAGGAAGTACGTGAGATAACCAAGCGATTGTGGGTAAGTAGAAAAGGGAGGAGGCCCAGGGTTTGACCTCTGGAGCTTTCAGTGAGGAGCTCAGGAGACTGGGAACCTGGAGAGGGCCAGGTCCTGGCAGAGACGAGCTCAGCAGCTCAAGCAGAGCCACAAACGAAGGGGCTAATTCAGCCGCAGATCACTTCCTGCGATGTAACCAGCCCGGGGCTAAAACCAGGGACGGGCGGTGATCTGGGGTCTGATGGGGCAGCGAAGGCCTGGGGTCAGGCAGTTTTATGGACTCTGAGGTCGGGGGAGGAGGGCGATTGGGAGGGCCGAGGGGGATGAGTCAGGAGGAGCGTGTACCCTGTTGGACATGGAGCTCTCCTAAGGGCCTCAGACAAAGAGCCTCGGGGCTGGGGGTGCAGGGAGGTGAAAGGGCAGGACCAACTGCTGTCCTTGCCTGCAGCTCCTCTCAGGGGCTGTGGGCCCGGCAGCTTCCCCCCGCCCCCCCCGTGCCTTTTTTTTTTGCGGTACGCGGGCCTCTCACTGCTGTGGCCTCTCCCGTTGCGGAGCACAGGCTCCGGACGCGCAGGCTCAGCGGCCATGGCTCACGGGCCCGGCCGCTCCGCGGCACGTGGGATCTTCCCGGACCGGGGCACGAACCCGTGTCCCCTGCATCGGCAGGCAGACTCCCAACCACTGCGCCACCAGGGAAGCCCTCCCCCCGACCCGCGCCTTTTAACCAAGAGCCAGGCCCTCACCCCGCATTTAGCACCCAGGAGCACCCAGTAGGTATTTGTTGAGTGAATCAGTGAATGACTGAGCAGAGGCTGGAGGGTGAAGTCAGGCTTTTTGTCTGTTTAAGATGGAAGAGGCTTACGCGTGTTCACAGGTTGATGGAAGGGGGTCTCCGCAAGAATGTGGTTCACTGTTGTACACGGGGAGAAAAGCCAGCCGTGTCAGTTCCCTGGGACGTTAGGGGGCTTGGCCTCTAAAGCAGGGCGGACACGTTGGCCTTTGCCCCTGTGCTGTGGTCCGGGGCCAGGAAGGGAGGGTGAGTGTTCCCAGGGTGAGCTTGGTGTTTAGCAGCAGCAAGCGGTGCAGGCATCCCCACGGGGCTTCCGTGTTCTGTGGGAAATAGAGGCAGCGTGTCTGCTGACTGGGGAGGTGCCAGGGCAGGAACTGGAGGTTGAAATGGAGGTGGGTTGGCAGGGTCAGGGGGTGACAGTGAGAAGGCAGGTCAACTTAAACAGCAGTGCACTTGGGATGCCTGGCAGGCAGTGCCCAGGGCCCCCTGAAGTTGGCGATGACCTGGTTAGGATGCCACGTCCTGCCGTGTGACTCCACCCAGAGGAAGAGGAAGGAGGGCTTGAGTCATGCCAGGGTTTTGCTGGTGGATAGAGCAGAAAGGGAACTTGCGCTTTTGTATTGAAGTAAAGGAGGGGATAAAGGGGCCCGAGAGGCTGCGAAGCATCCAGGCAGGAGCCCTTGAATCAGTGCCCTGGGGAGGATGTCGCAGCTGGAGAGCAGTGTGGCCTGGACTTGGAGTGATTTCGGGGAGTGCGAGTCCCAGGGTCTCTGAGTGGAGGGGAGAGCAGAGGCTGTCGGAGAGGAGAGAGTGAGGAACAGAAAGGCTGGGCTGTCAACGTGCATGTAGAAAGCACCCGAGACTCTGCTAGGATCTGGGGCAGGACCTGTGGTTGGGGCTGCTGAGTGAGAGGGGATGCCTGGGAGAGCGGTGGGTGACGGCGATGAGGAGCCTCTGAGTCGGGGAGGGGACCCCTGGGGAGGTGGGTCAGGACCGCACTGGAGGGGCCGTGGGCGTCTGCTTCTGTGCTCGCTGTCCTCTCGTCTTTATCTCATCGTCCACCACTGTCTCTGGAGGGGCAGTTCTAGGAATTCCATGTATGCGGTGGTTCCCTTTATTCGAGTGGTGGTGGCCCGGGAGCCAGGCCCAGGTGCCCACGCTGTTCCCTTGTGATGGTGTCCTTCTCCTCCCGGCTTCTCCATCCCCTAGGAAGGCAGCTCGTATCTGTGCCATGGGTTCATTCATTCACCTGTAATGTTGGTGCTGTGGTGAAGACATTTTCCTCCATTGTTTCCAACTTTTTTTTTAATAAGTTCTGGTTCCAGGTGAGGTTGATTTATTGCAGCAGGAAGAGGGCACCGGCGAATGGGAGAGTCGCTCCTGCTCTCACGAGGTTTATTCTTGGCTTCCTCTTCCTTTAATAACAAATAAGTAAAATAACTGATGGCCACTTCAATGTGTATTTCTTTGCTAAGACTAAATTTACAAGATCAGAATAGTTGCTGGTTTTGGTGGGCTCCTTCCTGATCCCGTTGGACAAGCACGTCACACCTACAAGCTCATGCTAACGCGGGTCTGCGGGGTCAGGGCTCCCTCCGTCTCCCTCATGGACAGGGCAGTGCCTGGTTTTCTTGCACGGTGGGCACTGTATCATTTTCCCAATTGGGAGTTAGGGAATCTGTGACTTGTTTCTGTATCCTGGGCAATCTGAAGGGCTTGCGACAGGTCATTTGCTTGTGGATCAAATATTCCAAATTTACAAATGGAAAGAATTTGTTACATGTTTAGATTTAAAGATCACTTGGCTGATGGTAATGAGAGGAAAAATATCTACTATTTATACAAATGACTCTGCTTAATACTGAGTTGAACTTAAGAACAATGGGGTGATTGAAACTTGTAAAGGAAGTAAAAACAGATGCTTCTTCCACTCTCATTAAGTCCTCACGTCATTGTGTATTCGCACTGACCACTTAGAAACCCTGCTTACTTAGGGTACCGTTTCTCCTTTTTTACAAACCAGTGATTCCCTGTGCGATATGCAGTCTTCTGGGTTTATTCTGTTCTATGTGTATTCTACCTGATCAGATAAAAATGAAATTTAGGCAGGTTCATTCTTTGTTTAAAAAACAGTGATCAGTTTTAGTATAAACAGATGACATTGCTGGAAACAAGAATGTCTGTGGATTAAATCAGATTTTAAAAAATATTTAAAATGTGTTCAAAAGTGATGGATGTTACATTGACAGAATCTTTAGTTGTTTTTATCTGCTTTTCATGCTGCATAAGGATTCACAGATCAATCTATTGAGGTAAGGAATTTTGAGCTTTTGCGTATAAAACTTTGTATTTTTGCATCATTATTCTTGAAAATGCATTATAAGCATGTGGTCTTTTAAGTATATGATAATGCAAGTTAATAATAATTTTGGAATATAAATCCTTATTGTGTATTTCTAGTTTCTTGAAACATCTGTTGTTGATACTTTTTCAGCCTTGTTGGGAAAATGAGTTTTAATGGTGTACTTTAATGTAAATGTGTGCTTACCATTTGCAGCAATGCAGATGGACCTAGAGAGCATTAAGCTTAATGAAGAGGAAGACAAATACTGTATGTTATTGCTTATATGTGGAATCTAAAAAATAAAACAGATGTGCATAACAGAACAGAAGCAGACTCACAGATATAGAGAACAAACTAGTGGTTACCGGTGGGGAGAGAAGGGGGAGGGGCAATACAGGAGGAGGGGATTAAGAGGTACAAACTGGTGTGTATGAAATAGCTGAGCAGCTGAGATGTACAGCACAAGGAAATGTCCCCGTTATTTTGTAGTAACCTTAAAGGGAATATAATTTATAAAAGTATTGAATCACGGTGCTGTACAGCTGAAACGAATGTAACATTTAAATAATATAATAATATTGTTAGTACTTCAGTTCCGCGGTACTTCAGTGGAAGGAAATGTGTGCTTAATCGTTTCTGTGTGCCGCATCATCGTGTGACGTGTGTGGAGTGCGGCCCCGTATAATCTGGTTGGAGTCCACGTGACATGCGGGGATGTCGTCCCCCTGCAGTTAATTCGCGTGTGTTCCAAAGTGTGTTTCTAATAACGGTTGTGAGGACGCCGGGGCTTCCGTGACTTGTAGCTGAGGTTGTCAGATGTGCCCCGTGGTAGACGCTGCGGGGGCTCCCCAGGTCCCAGTCACTGGGCGGACGTGCCCGCCGCCCTGTAGCTCACAGCTGTCCTCTTGTGCTCACGCTGTAGCTCCTGCAGCAGCCTGGGCCCTCCGCCCTCTGCCTGCAGCCAGCCACCAGCTGCTGGGAGGAGGGTTCCAGAAGGGCGGCCTGGCCTCAAGCGGCACAGACAGTGAGGTATGGTGTTCACTGAGCTCCAGCTGCAAGCAGGGCCTCACTCGTCCCTCCCCTTCTCTGGCCAGCTTCCCTCCCTTGCCTGAGGGCCCCCCCCCCCCCCCCCCCCCCCGCCGCCCCCAGAGAGGTTCCGGCAGGACAGTCCCCATGTCAGGCTCTGCATGTAGGGACTTTGCCCAGATGCCCTCGGACATAGAGATGTTGAGAGAAGGTGTGTGTCCATGAGTCCCCCTCAACACCTGTCAACATTTTGCCCGTCTTGTTTCATCTTTCCCCTACTTTTCAATCAATGAGTATTTTATAAGGTATCTCATAGCTTACGTCATTTCATCCACATCAGTGCTTCTCCTGTCCCTAACAGGTGAGAGCTTTCTAAAACTGTATAACACAATAATGCTGTTATCTCACCTGGCAAAGTTAACAGTGACTCCTCAGGACCGTCTCATTCCCAGACCTGTTGATAGTCTCCTTTACGGCCATGGAATCGTAATATTCTTAACACTACAATGTGCAAAGTAAAGCAGACTCATTGTCTGTATTAACATGAAGCTTTGCTTTAATGTAAAGCATCAGGTCGGCAAGTGATGATGTAAAAACACGTTCTAATTCCCCTTCTCTCCTCAGGTCCTGGACGCCTCGTCCCTCAGTTTCAACACCAGGCTGAAATGGTTTGCCATATGCTTCGCCAGTGGCATCGTCTTCTCTATTCTTGTGCGTTAAGGCTGTATGTTGCTCCGTAATTTCTATTTTGTGTGAGACTGATCATTCCATTTAGTCCCAACACACAGTCCACTTTATCTGGACTGTTCTGATGGGACATATTTAGTCCCCTGAAATAAAGGGGTAGAGATCAATAAAAAGATGCAGAGATTAATATTTTGGGGGGTTTATGGATTGTTAAAATAATTTCATTTAAGAAAGATCAGTGTGTATTAGGAGAGTTGCAGTCAGTGATTTAGATGTGATTTAGATTTTTGACTTGCCATTTATAAAAAGAATACTTAAAAAAAAAAAAAAAAAAAAAAAAAATAAGAAGAGTGAGACTTAGATGGATAAAGAAAGTTATGTAATGGCTCATTTATATATACTTATATGCAAATAGGCAGAAGATTCAAATTAGCAAATAACATTGAAAATTAACTACTTTTTAAAAAACTATATAATTAGAGACTATACATTAACACATTTATACATAAACTTTATTATATATATATTCTATTATTACTGTTTTATTATTACTATAGTAGCACATTTATATTTTAACCTATTACAGTGGTAAAATTACTTTTAAATAACTATAATGTCTTAACTCAGGGAACTGGATTGCTGTGGCTTCCTGGTGGCATAAAGCTTTTTGCAGTGTTTTATACCCTTGGAAATATTGCTGCCTTAGCCAGGTATGTACAGAAGTTTGGCTTCTCAAAATATTTCATTTGCTATCATCAAAATTTTCTTTTCTAATAGGATATATTTCTGTAGATCTATACATACTGTGAATTCAAAATTTACATTCATTCAATAGATACTTAGACTCCTGCTGTGTGCCAGCTGCCATCATAGAGTGTTCATGGTGAGAATAGCCAGCATTTGGAGGTACTTACTGTGTGCCAGGCCCTATCCTAAGTGTTCTGTGTCTGTCACCCCATTTGTGAGGTGGGCACTGTTATCACCCCATCTTATAGCAGGGTGTAGTAGCACGAGGCGGGGGGGAGGTCACTCCCCAGGGAGGTGCCTAGTGAGGTGACCAGGCCTGGTTCCCACCCGAGAGTCCTCCGGAGCCCCGGCTTGTAGCTGCCTCGGCGAGGGGACCGTCAGATGCCCAGCCGACCAGCGGCGGAAGCAGATCGGGGGTGGCAGTGCCGGGCCCAGGAGTTGGACAGAGCCACACAGTGGCAGTGACTCTGAGGACTGTGCACTGGGCGTTCAGGGAGTCCCCCCTGGGGGCCTCGGGTGCATCTCTGGGGGAGTTGATGTCTGTTAGCGTAGTTGTCACATTTACGAGCTCTCAGCTTTCAGAGGTGAGCTCCTGCCTCTTCAGGGACGTTCTGCATCAGAGGTGCTGCCCAGTGCAGGGGTGTGAGCCGTGGCCAAGCTCAGCCCACTCTCCTGGGCTCGCCCCGATGCCCCTCCTCAGACCGCAGCCTGGAAGAGGCCTGAGGGCGCAGTTGCACACTTTTGCCCTTAGAAGCTTTACGCCGACAGTGCTTGTGGGGCTGTTCTCTCGTTATGACGGGGAATGTGCGTAGAGGTGAGGAAGCAGTGGCTGAATTGGCGCCAACGGAGAGCAGCCTGCCTTGTCAGCCTGGACCGGCCTCAGCGGTCGCGCTCACCGGCGCTGTGAGTGATTTGTGAGAGGCGTTCCTGTGTCGCAGAAGACAGAAGGATTAACGCTTCCTTCTAATGTTAAGGAGAAATGCAACAGACTTAGTGAGATTTTCTAATTAAACTAACATAGGATTTCTTTTCTTAAAAGTACTTATTTTTACACAGCCGGACAAGTTAATAGCTCCCTCTCTCCTTTCTTTTATTCGTTTCAAATAGTACGTGCTTTTTAATGGGACCTGTGAAACAACTGAAGAAAATGTTTGAAACAACGAGATTGCTTGCAACGATTGTTATGCTTGTAAGTAAATAATGATACTTTTAAAAAACTTTTTTCGAGTTTTTCTTTTCTTTTTGCATTACTTTGGGAGGTACTAATGTTATAATTCTCTTGTTGAATATGACAGTCACATTCTTCAGGCTGTGTGTTTAAAGAGTTTGGATTATGTAGCATTGCCTAAAATGATTGGCTGGGTGAATCCTGTTTTCTTTTGTGTATTCTAACAGTGTAGCTCTGTGTATTGCACGTGAAAATGAGAGCTGCATGTATTTCATTTTCGGGCCCCATGGAGCACCTTAATGGACCCCTGTGTGTACTTTCTGGAGGGTGGGCCTGGAAGACGGGTCACCTCTGGGTCCATATGAGGCTTCTCAGGGAGAGTTGGCTTAATTTTGGTGGCCTGTCACCTGGCCTTTGTCGCTCCCCCGTTGGACTGTTGCACAAATACCTAGGCCTCTGTCTCCACGCCTGCCCCACTGCTTTCCCTGCCTCTCCTCGTCTCTCCCCTGCCTCCTCTGGGGGACATAGCTGTGGAATGACAGTGCAGTCTTTCTGTGTGAAATCATTATAACAGGTTCCTATGTAAAGCTAAGTAAAACAGAACTTACTGTACAGGAGCGGTTGTACTGAGTCCTGCGGTGGCGGCTTGACTTAGTAAACGTTAGCGCCAGCATTCCTAAACCCATAACAACAGCCGCTGTTACTCGTTCATTCTCGAGACAGTCTCTCTGTTGGCTTAGTCAACAGGTGATTTATTATGTGCTTGCAATTTGCCGAGGAACATTGCAGCAGTCACAGACTTTAAAGTAATACTCAGGGAACGTATAAGGACAACTAGAGTAAGCGGTCTCATTAATTTTGTTCTCTAGTGTGTTATCATGCAAATGAATGCAGAATAGTGTATGCATTTTTGTTAAGCTTTGGAAAAGGCTCAAATTGACAATTTTTCTTTCCTTTCCTGTAGTTGTGTTTCATACTTACCCTGTGCGCTGCTCTTTGGGTAAGTTACCTCAACCATATCTGTTTTCTACTAACTGTGTGGCCCCTCACCAGGTAGACTGTCATCGCACCATCATCTCCAAGGAGCTCAAAGTCTGGTTTCTTAAAACCCACCAAAGACTGGGTGTCCCTAAAACCTAGTTAGTGGCTAGGCTTGCAGTGGATTCTGCCACCTAAAACAGACAGAAGTGAGCTCGTGCTTGCGTCCAGGTCAGACTGGCCCCTCTCTCAGGCCCAGGGCCGTGAGAGGCCCTCGCTGAGGGTCTGCGTGCTCTGTCTGCTGTGCTGATAGCCTCGCTGTGCTGTGGCTCTAGGGTGGGGAGTGCATCGTGAGCATCAGGGTGTCCACACAGTGAGGAGAAAGGGCCGGAAAACAAACCCAAACAAATTAACACAGAGGGACAAAAGGACTTAAATTATTCTTGCACCACTTACGGATGAGGTGAACGGCTCCTCATTAGCCTTCAGAGAAGTTACTCTATTACAATTCAGTTTACTCGTCGATGCTCCTGATTCTTCATTACATTTGCTTATTGTTCCTTATCTACCTCCAAAGGGGTCTGAGGAGGTTCTTGAGCTCCCAAGAACACAGCGCACTTTAAAGAAGATGGGGTGGCATACGACACACTGCAGAAACGTTCATCAAAAATGTTCTGCTTTTAATTTTGATGATTTAAGGACCGGACTTTAGTTGTGCAAGAATGCACTTAATACCTCATTTCCCAGTGATAACTTAAAAAGAATTTTCGTAAACAATCTTCGCATTTCCCTATAGAAAATTGATTTCTGGTTTGGAAAGGTCCAGCAGTCTGTTTATAAGCAGTAGATTAAAAATAAGTGAAAAAATAAATAAATAAAAATTTAAAATAAAGATGGACAAGAAATTCTAAAAATAGATCATTTTAAAACAACTGTGGAAACTTTATCTTACATTATTCCAGAAGATCACAATAAAATACAGTTTTAGTTCAAAAAATAACTCAAGAAAATGAACAAGTGTGAATGAGAAAGATACGTAAATTCCGCATAGGATACAGATCTAATAATCAAGTGGGTATTTTAGAAAGGTTAACCTTGACTTAAAGGACCTAACATGAGAGAGATTTAATATTTTCGGCCTATGCACATTTATTTCATTAATGTTTAATGCCATATACTTAGCAGCATTTGAATAAATGGAATCAGAGGATTCTAGAAAGAAGATACAATTTATGGATATGTAATTCTCAGATCTCCTGAATCTTAAATTTGTCATACTAGGATTTAATGAAATAAGTTGGAGCTATCGTTTATATTTTTGAAGGGGAGGAACTGAACTTGCTTGTGAAAAGTATTTTTTAAAAAAATGTTTAACTCATTATTTCTTTGTCTTTGCTGTTGTCAGTGGCATAAGAAGGGGCTGGCCTTATTATTCTGCATATTGCAGTTCTTGTCAATGACCTGGTAAGTCTTACACTAAATAGAAAGTTAAAATTTCCTAAGCAGTGCCACGCGTTTTGTTCTGAGCCTGTAAGCCTAGGAAGGTCATTGGCATTTTACCGGGTCAGGTAAGCCTGTGCCTTGGAGGGGAAGGGCCTCCTGAGAGGTCAGGTGCCTGAGGTCTGCAGTGTGTCCTGGGGGGCCTAAATGTGGGAGAGCTGAGGAGAGTTGGGGGCTGTGCTTGCCCAGGCACACAGGGCTGCGTTCACTTCTTCTCTAATGTGTGAAAGAGAAATGCTGGGAAATGCAGGTGGTGCCACACGAACCCTGAAGTCCAGGCCGAGCCACAGGATGAGCCCGAGGGCACGGCGGGGAACCACTCGCTTTGCCTGGTATTGCTGAGCACCTGCCGAGTGAGTTCGTTCTGGTGCCGACTCCTCAGCGAGGCTGCTGTGCCCTTGCCTCTCCCTGAGGTGTCCTCCCCTCCGAGTGTTCAGTCACGCCATCCTTCCTGATCGCTCCCTCCCCAGGCCACGTTCAGGTCCTGGGCTGAGGGCCCAGCAAATACGATTGAGTTGAATGTGCCCTCCTCGCACGCTCCCACGTCAGACCAGAAAGGTGTTCTTCACGTACAAAATATTTCTACGAGTGTTTTCCTTTTCCTTTAGAGCTCAGTCTTGTTTGCTTCCTTGCAATCGTCAGTAGACCCCTTCCTGACTTTGCTGTTTTAAATTTCTCCTTTTTGATATCACCCAATCTGAGATCAGTGGGGTTTTTTTGTTTTTGTTTTTGTTTTTGTGGTACGCGGGCCTCTCACTGTTGTGGCCTCTCCCGTTGCGGAGCACAGGCTCCGGACGTGCAGGCCCAGCGGCCATGGCTCACGGGCCCAGCCGCTCCGCGGCATGTGGGATCTTCCCGGACCGGGGCACGAACCCGTGTCCCCTGCATCGGCAGGGGGACTCTCAACCGCTGCGCCACCAGGGAAGCCCCAGTCTTTGTTTTGATGCTGTTTCTACCTTTCCACTGATGGAATGTCAACAGCTGTTAAATGCAATTCTCTACGTGTTACAAAAGAACCTTATGATGTTGTTTTACTCTTTTTCAGTGAAATGCGGAAAAGTTTAAACCTTTGTTATTTTCTATTAATATGTTGCTTTTTATTGTTAATCTGTACTTAATGATTGCCTTATCCCTGAAGGAGAGTGCAGTTTATTGTTATTTTATAGTTTTTATTTTTGAAAAATAACTCGAAAGGGGTAATACAACAGGCTTTTTATTACAGCAGGCTTCAGCAGGCATCAGAATCAGAGTTTTTTAAAAGCACATTGCTTACTGAGATGCAGTTTCTCATTCAGGAGGTGGGGGGGGGCAGGAATCTGCGTTTTTAACAAGTTCCCTGGTGATGCTGTATGCCGTCAGGGGTCATACTTTGAGAATCACTGTGCAGTAGTCTACTGCTTCATTTTTTATGGTGTTAGAATATGGCCATTTGGCAAAAAGGAAAACATCATTTAGTTTCAACGTTCTTGAATTTTTCTTGCAGGTATAGTCTGTCATACATCCCGTATGCAAGGTGAGCTTGTTTCAATTCTGTCTTGTTTCTGCTCCTCTAATTCTCTTTACACAGATACGTGAATTTTCATATTAAAATGTGATTTAAAAGGCTGTTTTTGGTTGACTTTGACTTTTTTCCCAGAAGGAAATTATTTTTTAAATGAGTGGAATAGAAGCTTGCCATATCAAGTAAAAAACATGTTGAACAGATGTAACAGGTAGGCTGGGAATGTACTTCTGATTTACCACCTGAACATTTGCAGTTAGTGAATTTTGGCAAGAGATTCTAGATGCTTTCGCGACTGCAAGTATTCAGTAAATAGGATATGGAGACTTCAGCAAAAATAAATTCTACTTTAAAAAAAAAGAAAGTTAATGAAAAAATGAATCTGATACAGAAATGTTTGTTTTAAGCCAGTAGAAACATATTTATTCTGTATGTCAAGAGGTAATTGCTGTTTTCTTGTATCTTTTCAGAGAAAGGTACTAATTTAATTATGGAGGAAAAAACAAATACTTAATTGCAGTCTTCAATCTGACCGGTTTGGAGGAATATTCTGTTGAGGCACAGCTTTGTTTCTTTGTGAAATTTGGAACATAGGTTGCATATGAAAAACAGCGGAATTGTACGCCTGATATAACAGTGAAGGAAATTGATAGCAGTTCTATTTTTATTCAGTTTCAAATGGATGATTCTTTTTGATGAACACTTAAAAGGAGAAAAAGCAAAGCAGGGTCAGCTAAAGGAGAGCAGGCTTAGAACAGGAGCGCAGAGGTAACTTGCCAGTCAGTCCTCAGGACCTTGGCTGGGAGAGCTCTTGCTGTTTCTCAACGAGGGGAAAAGGTGCCCCAAATGATGTCCACTGCAGTAGAGCTGGAGCTCACAGCCAGGGCAGGGCGTCTGGGCAGTGACCACCCTCCCCAGAAGTGTCGGACCCTGCCCTTGAGAGCAGCATACAGTCTGTCCGTACATCTCCAGTCTGTTGGTGCTCGCCTTAACAGTCCGTATTCATATAACAACAGTTGAAACTAACTGTTGTGAAGAGAAATGTGAAAGGCCAATGAGGTTTTTCACATGAATTTTTTTGGAATTCTTAGGGACATAGTTATAAATGTTCTCCTTTTTAAAATTCAGTTCGTTGTTTCTTTTTAAAAATACTTTTGTTGTTTTGGGTATTTACATTTATTTCTTCATAATAAAATTAGCATATGTGTTGTTTAAGATTTCGAAACAAATACCATTTTAGCAACTAAGAAATTATTTCCATGTCTCAGTTCTTGATTTCAAGTGATATTCAACAAAGTTTTAATTATGGAAAGGTACTGGGGTTCCGCTGAGTTCTGACGGGAAAAGGTGATCGTGTGTTTGTCTCTCGGCAGGAATCTTTTTGCAAGTTCACTCTGGAGGCAGATTATTATATTGTTTTTCCTCTTGTTTTTTCACCAGGGATGCGGTAATTAAATGCTGTTCTTCTTTGCTGAGTTAAAAATCAGAAACTCTTTGAAAAGACCATTTGAAAGCTGATGTTCTGGTTTTGGTGAAGTATACTTTTCCTGATACAGTAATCACTCCAAAAAAACAACTGCACTGACCATTTAAGACCATTTTGTATACTGATAAAAACTACATGCTAATTAAACTGTTAAATGCTTGTGACGTTAAATTCATTTTGTGTCATTAAGATGCTCTTCCAGAGATAAGGAGATTTTAATCATTGCCACTTGTAAATGATTTTTAGCCAGTTTTTTAATCTTTTCTAAACAGCACCTGAGATGTGTATATTTAAGGGTAAACCTATGCTGCAAGATATATTCAGCTTTTTTGGTGGTTTTAAAATGTCTACATTTTAAAAATATCTTTTTAAAATAAAAACTTTAAATGTGAAAATTTTTATAAGCTAAAAATTGCTAATTATATGTAATAAAAATAATATATAAATCTTTATAATTTTGAAATAAACCCACACTTGGGAAAAACATTTTCTTGATCAAATTTATGTTTTAAGTGGGTGGTGGTACATTGATTCAGTTGAATAAAATTTAGTTTGGCCACTTATGCAATCTTTCTGCAGAAAAACGAGTAAGATACAATCTCTGTCCTAATAATGGGGCTGAGCACAAATCTGTGAAGGATGAGAGGGCCGAGTAACAGTGAAAGCATTTATTCATCAGTGTGCTGTTCAGGGTGCGAGCCCGAACACAGAGCCGGCCAGGACGGCCGCCCGAGGAGGCGGGCAGGCAGGTCGGAGCAGAGGAGCCAGGAGGGCTGACCGGCCAGGTTGGGTCGGGGAAGCCTGCCGAGAGGAAGGAGCCGGGCCGCCGAGGAGGGAGAGCCTGCGAGAGCCTGCGTGGCCTGCAGGGAAATGGCCCGGGGCCCGGTGCCGGCACCACACCTCCCTGGGCAGAGGGAAGGCGGCCTCGGTGAGGAGAGCGGGGGAGGATGGGCTCCCGGGAGGGTGTGGGAGAAGGACTTGCTGAGTCGGTGAGGGGTCTGCTGGGGACCAGCACGAGGGCTGGGCTGGTGAGCAGAGAGCAGACACACCCCGTCCTGGACGGGGTCCTCGTCTCCAGTCGAGCCCACGGTTGGAGTCATGCTTTAGAGCCACGTGTCTGCAGAGTCGCTGGAAGCCCGTTGCTGTGTGGGTGCAGAGGATCCCGGGACGGTACAGAGCAGCTTCGGGTGAAGACTTGCCCCGTGGAGGTGGGGCGTGGCCTCGGGACGGGGCGGGGGGGGGGGGTCACTGAGTCCGCTGAGATGGTGCGGGAGGGAGGGACAGAGCCCTGAGACAGCCGGGCTGCGGCCCCTCGGAGCTCTCCGGCTTCACGGGGACCCTCTGTCCAGCCAGGCGGCAGCAGCGCAGATGCTCCTGGCGTCCCCCCCGTAGCTGCTCCGTGTCCCCCTACAGGGGGTGGGGGGACAGTTCAGTGAGCTTCAGAGCCTGTTGGCGTGAGTGGGACACGGTGCACGTGTGACCCCTGCAGGAAGGGGCGGCGTCCGAGGTCTGCCCGCGCCGCGCTGGGCCCTGCCTTGTGAGGAAGTGCGGACCAGTCTCTCGTTACTTGCAGAATTCCTCGTCAGACTACTTCCGGCAGCCCTTCGGCAGGGGGGTCCCCCTTGGGAGGGGGCCTGTCGTGGTCGGAGATCCAATCCACAGCAGGATCATCCCCAGAGCGGCCCTCACCTCCGGGTCACCGCTGGCCCTGCGGCCAGCCGGCAGCGCGCACGGAGAGCACGGCGGCCCGGGCACCTGCCTGCGCCTCCCTCTCGGCCTCCCCGAGAGCAATTCGTGCTGCTGCGGTCCCCTGGCGGGTCCCTGGGGAGGCTCCCCTCGTCCCCGCACGTATGCAAACCTTAGAGCTCCTGTGTCCCATCGCTTTTGCCAGCTCCTCAAAGGCACTCCCCCCTGAAGTTACAATCTATCGTAACCCCTGAGGGGCCTCCGCTTGAGGCCGCGGCAGCCGTCAGGAGGGGAAGCGGGGCTCGGTGATCTTCACCAAGACTGCCCGCAGCTTGGCCACCCTTTGGAGGACAGCGTGTCTCGGGCGTGGGGTGGCCCTCCCACGTCTGCCTATTCGAGCTTGGACAAGGTGCTTACCTCTGTCAGCTTCCATTTCCTCATCTCAAGAAAATGTCTAAACATGGGGTTCTACCGGTGTTTGCCCGGCAGGATGGCTGGGAGGAATAAAGGAGTGAGCAGTGCCTGGCAGCGGCCTTCTGTAGACGGACGATTAAAAGAGCCTGCGGGCATCTGTTGGAAAGGCTGCTTTACACTCATCTCTGCGAGCCTTTGGGACACAGTGCATTGTACCCGAGAGGCCCCAGAGTGACCCTCAGGACTGCGGGAGGGGACGCCCAGCCCCACAGGCCCGAGGGCGTCAGGATCGCTGTGTAGGAGCTAACGCGGGAAGCGGTGCCAAGGGTGTCCTGCTGGAAATGGCAGCGATGACAGGGTTTTGGGGCGGCCTCTCAGGTCCTGGGGCGTCAGTGGCTGGCGTCCAGTCAGGGACTGGGCTGGGAGATGACGGGCCCCGTGTGGCAGTGTCCACAGAGCACCCGTGGGGGTCTGGGAGAAGGACCCGCACCGGAGTCGGGGTGGAGCAGGGCGAAGAGACAGCAGCTCCTGTTTGCAGATCCTTCATCTTCTCTCTCCCCGACTCGTGTAACCCGGGAAGATGGGGACTTCGCTCTGTGCTTCTCTCCCAGTGGTAATTAAGCCATCTCCTGACGTATGAACTAGCTGTGAAAACATCGCAAGGTCCTTTAAAGTCACGGTCTGCTTCTGCAAAGCCGCTTTAAGGCTGTCGTTGCACCTGTAGTGCTGGGTTGGGGGTGCGGGACACGCACGGGAGTCGCGGCCCACGTGGGACTGTCTATGTTAAAGAGCGCCGTCCTCAGTGGCCTTCTCGCCATCCTTAATTTAGGCACTTTTCTTTCAAGTGAATTATTTAAGGAACAGCTTACAGCGAGATACTTTTGTGGGGTGAGGAAGCACATCACGCCACCTACCTCTCGTGGAGACGTGTATTTAACGTGTCATGGGGTGCGTGGAGGTGAGCAGGGGTGCAGTCACACAGAAGGGTTCCGCCCTGAGAAAGCACGCTCACCTGCGGGTAATGTGGGCGGCGAGGCCCCAGCGAGGCACACCTGCCCAGGTGACGGCAGCGGTGCCTCCACAGGGCCGCTCGGACCACTGCTTTTCTGTCCTCCAGCCCCATTTCTTTCACTCCACCAGGACTGCAGCCACCTAACTCCATTCTCCATTCCCGGAAGCATCTGCTGGCCTGGGGTTTCTAAGAAAGCGTTCATCTGCACGCACGTCCCAAGCACAGGGTAAATGAGACTTACAGCTGCTGCTTCTCCCTGCCCTATGGGAAGACTCTAAGTACATTTCATACATCTAAAAACCTGAGCTTTGCAAGAAAAAGGGGTAATATAAACTGAAGGCGTATCATTTTTAATAGTACAGCTTGTGACTTTTCTTCCTGTATGATCTCATGGTTTTACTTGCTTCCCTTTTTTTCCAGGTTATTACAAGAAGGAACCAAGTATTAAGTTTTGCTTTCAAAGAGGAGGACATGATGATGGTGATGGTTGGCGACATCAGAGAGGTGTTCCTTGTGCCGCCTGGCAGGCAGTGTAGCAGTTCTCAGTGTGGCCCAGGCCACCGACATGCCTGGGCGTCCCGGAGACCCTTTCAGGGTCCACTTTGGTAATTACCCCGACACTGCACTGTTCACTCTACCGTGAGTGCACAGCGGAGTCACGAGGCTGTGGGCGTGCGATCGCACAGGGATGGGGCACAGAGCCCGCCACTCATCTCTGACTTGTTTAGAAAATATTATTTTCGTTAAACGTATTAGTAAACTTTTTTTTTAAAGTCTCGGTTTAGAGTCTTTTTTTTTTTTTAAAACCCTTAGCCCAGCTTTTTTTTTTATCATTAAGTTATTTTTGGCTGTGTTGGGTCTTCGTTGCTGCACGCGGGCTTTCTCTAGTTGTGGCGAGCGGGGGCTACTCTTTGCTGCGGTGCGTGGGCTTCTCACTGCAGTGGCTTCTCTTGTTGCGGAGCATGGGCTCTAGGCACGCGGGCTTCAGTAGTTGTGGCTCGTGGGCTCTAGAGCGCAGGCTCAGTCGTTGTGGCTCGCGGGCTTAGTTGCTCCGCGGCATGTGCGATCTTCCCGGACCACCGCTCGAACCCGTGTCCCCTTCATTGGCAGGCGGATTCTCAACCACTGCGCCACCAGGGAAGCCCCTCGGTTTAAATTCTTAACAAGGTTAACATCAGTAGATAGAGGCCACAGAACAGAAGCCCTTTGGGTCCTGAGAGTGTAAAGGGGTCTTGAGACCCACTGGCACTGAGTGGTGAGCGTGCTTTGGGCTCTCCCTCCCTGGACGGGTATTGCCCCCGCCATGCTCTGGGGCTATTTGGGTAAACCTTAGTTTCTTCATCTGTAAAATGCAAGTGTTACTGCTTCTTCTCTCATAAGACTCTCGGGAGGTTTCAGTGCAGTAATCTCGATAAAGCGGATTATTATCTCAATGATGGGAAAAAAGAAAGACTAAAGCAAATAATATCTGAACAATTTCCTAAATGTTTTCTGCTCGCGAAGGCTTTCACAGTAACAGACCAGTGTCACAAGGAAAAATGGAGGTGTTTTCCAGTTATTGGCCACATTCTCTATGTCTCAGTAATAAAATAGGATTTTGAAAACTAGAATGAGCTTTCCATGTTTTAAAATTCAGATTTAGTTTTAGTTCTAGATGTTGGATCTAGAACATTTACTTCTCGCTCTATTAAGTAAAATGCTTTGAATCAAAATATAGAAATGGAAAGAGGGTGTAACTGGAAAAATAAGATTGATTTATTTTCCTTTTTGAAATTTTTCTGAACATTGAAGTATATGCCTTAGTAGAACCAAGAACCTAAAACGTTAATGAGGAAAATGAAACATTTCTTGAAATAATGGCTAATTTCCTGGTATTACGGTGCGATCACTGGCTGTAATTTAATCAACTGGTAACTCTGTGGTGATGACCAGTTGATCACACGTGTCTGTGTGATAAAGAGCACACGTCCATTTTGGATGTATCTGTGGGGTCCAGGTGTGAAGTGGGAGCATGTCTACAGCCATTATTTGCAGAGCGGGGTCATCATACCACAGCCTC